CTCGAAGTCCTCTACTAACATCAGTAATCATTCGCAGATTCCAAAAGCCGGCAGACCTTCTACCACAACATCCTTGACTCCTTTCTTCTTGCTGCCTTTGCCCTTGCTGCGCTCGTTCTCTTCGCGGAGTTTTGGGAGGACGAGAGGGCGGACACTTTCGATGACGCGGGGAAGGATAGGATTGCGCGGGTTGAGCAGCCAGCTCTCTGCTAGAGATGGATTATCGACGTAGATACGACATTCTAAGACCGAGAATTTGGTGATTCTTAGGTATCTGCGGATAGGAGCCATAGTTGTCAAAGCATCGGGATAGTGTTGTGTTGAGAAGGCGATGACCTCAAGGCGGGCCGTGTTGAGACTTCAGCCTCGCGAGGCAGCCTCGGCTGGAATTTGTTTACAAGACCGCTCAGAAGTCACCGAGATATTTAATTTCGACAGAATACAAACTTGTTTATCTGCTACTTATTTTCATTTTCTGTCTTTTTTAACGTCATCAACCTCTGATTTTCTCCTTGTAAATCAGAATTGTTTTGGTGCTGAGCAGCTTCGATCAAGCTTCTGGAACTTCTTTTCCCCGTTCCGTCTTGGCATGCCACCTCGTCATCTCGCCTCGGCATCAAAACACTCCCACCAGATTTCTACAACACATGCGAATTTGAATTGAAAATACATTCACATGCGTCTGAGATTCATTTGATTAAATCCGCAACCACACAACCTCAGGAGGCTATCCAATACCCGCCCAGTGCTGAATACTAAAAAGGCAGGACAAATCCCGAGAAGCGAGGTTCCACTGATCCCGGAGGAAATCGGACCTCCAAATCCCAAGATATCAGCGGAATTCCACATCCAAATCTATCTATATTTTGAGCGGCGACTTATACAAACACCTATCCAGTCCTTACCTCCCATTCTTGCTGTTAGACATGAATTCGATTCTGAATACCTCTGCGAGAAATACACGAATATTCCGAGGCAGTCCAGTGGTGAAGGGGCTGCTTCGAAGGGGCGTTTCTACCCAAGAACTTGATGCTTCTAAAGGAGGCGAGTTTGCTTACATCTTACTCTTGGATATACGCTGACATGTCATAGATCGTGAACGAGTGGTTATCCTAGGCTCAGGGTAAGTGCTTTATCTTAATATTAGATCTGTTTCTCACATATGTATCTTAGCTGGTCCGGTTTTGTCCTGTCACGAGAACTTGACAAGAAGAAATTCCAGACTGTCGTTGTATCACCAAGATCATATTTTGTCTTTACTCCTCTTCTGGCATCTACAGCTGTTGGTACGCTCGAGTTCCGAAATACTCTTGAGTCCGTCAGAGCTCGTGGGAAGGGCGTCGAGTTCTTTCAGGGCTGGGCGGACGATGTCAATTTCAATCAGAAGAAGATCCAGGTCGAGGAAATCACTGCAAGACGTCCATTGCATGTTTCTGGAAAGGCTTATGAGGCTTCAAGTATCACGGAGGCTGATCAATCCTTCCGAGTCAAAAAGAAGGGGAAGGTTTTTGAGTTGAATTATGACAAGCTTGTTATAGCTGTCGGCTGTTACAGCCAGACCTTCAAGACCCCCGGTGTCAGAGAGAATGCTTTCTTTTTGAAGGATGTTGGTGATGCAAGGAAGATCAGAAAGAGGATTCTTGAGTGTATGTTCTCTGTTCCATTCAGTTGGACCAAACTAACCTGACTTAGGCTTCGAGACAGCTTCATGTCCTACAACCTCGGAGAAGCTTCGTGACCAGCTTTTGAATTTTGCAGTTGTCGGTGGTGGCCGTAAGTTATCTCACCCGACTATAATTCGTAACTGACGCCCCCAGCTACTGGTGTCGAATTCGCCGCTGAACTCTTCGATCTCTGCCACGAAGATCTGAAGAAGCTTTACCCCAACCTCATCCCACACATCAAAATTTCAATCTACGACGTCGCCACCAAGATCCTTCCCATGTTCGATGCGTCCCTTGCCAATTAGTAGGTGTTCTCCGAGACTGTCTTTCTTTTTGAAAACTCTTTTCCCAATTGTGTCCAAAATCAACCTTGACTCTTTGACTCGTTTATGGAAGAGCAATGCTAATCGCGGAATCTACTTCAAGCGCCATCAATCTCTTCAAACGTGACGGCATCCAAATCAAAACAGAACACCACATTCAATCCCTCCAACCAGGACTCCCCGGCTCCACAGACCCCGACAACGACGGCGGATGTTTCACTCTCAAAACGAAAGAAGACGGGGAGGTTGGCGTGGGAATGTGCGTGTGGTCTACCGGTCTCATGATGAATCCCTTCGTACAATCAGCCCTCGACGACGTCCACACCTACCCCGCCACATCCGCAACCCTCTCCACCGAAGTTGCTTCCCCCTCATCAAAGCAGTGGTCTCTCAAACGTCATCCTCGCTCAGGCGGTCTCCTTGTCGACGACCACTTCCGTGTGAAACTCATTCCTCGCAGTGGCTCCCCGCCAGAAGGCTCGTCCGTTCCGGAGGCGACAATGCAAGATGTCTTTGCTATCGGAGATGTCTCTGTTATGGAGAAGGCGCAATTGCCTGCCACAGCACAAGTTGCAAATCAAGAAGCCAAATGGCTAGGCAAGACGCTGAATAAGGGCAATCTTAGTGAGAAAGATGGGTTCAATTTCAAGAACTTGGGCGTCATGACGTATCTCGGGAACATGAAGGCGATCATGCAAGCTGAGGGTGGGACGGAGGTTAAGGGGTAAGTGAACTTTGCACGGTAGTCTATGGAAGAGATGCTGACTATTGAATAGGAGAATGGCGTGGTTGATCTGGAGAGGAGCATACCTCACACAAACTGTTAGTTGGAGGAACAAGTTGCTAATCCCCATCTACTGGTACGTATAGTCTTTCCTCGATTTTAAAAACAACTATCTGACTTCTCCAGGTCCATCAACTGGATCTTTGGGAGAGATATCTCGCGATTCTAGACTGTTAGGGGCTTTTTGTGTACGCTTTTTGTGACAATATCAAAACATTTCAACTTCAGCTCCTATGTGCAAGGTCGCAAAAGGACATACCGCTGGTAGGTGTTATCTTAAGGTGAATACAACTGAGCTATGTATACTGCGTCTGTGATATTCGTGCTACCTCATCGGCTCGAGGATGGCAAGGTAGCCTGGCCACGCGAGCGAGAGCTGTGAGGTCTTTAATCATTCTTCTGTCCTTCCATGCAGAATTACGCTTTCTCCCACAGTCTATGTCGACCAAGTATCAAATAATTCCACTTTTTGCAGCACGGACGAGAGGTACTCAATGGCGCCGACAACCACAAATGAAATGACAGCGAGACTCCGGGGGTCTTTCTAGTGACGAGAAAAAACATAACCAGTTATCCTATGGCCGTTTCCCCACAGTAATGAAATTTGATTTACATACCCTTTCACTGGAAATCAATCCGTCGAAGTGTGTCACCTTCTTCAAGTTGCGGCAGCCGACCATCGCCCAAACATCTTCCATGTCAGTGTTTTCCTGCTCATTTAATTTCGAAACAGACACCTCCTCCTTATACATGGTACTAAGTTCCTCACAGAAACAAAGGGAAGTCTTCCTTTCGTCTGTCTGGAGTGGAGACTGCAATTCAATATTCCGACTTCTGGCCAGCACAAGCTTTTGAGTCTTGACGATTCACCTTTCTCATACTTCCTTCAAAATCAACAAGCTACGAAGCCCGTAACACCCAAGTATAAAGCCATCCCCTATGCTTAAATAGTGATTCTCCTCGGGCTTCCAGGTGGGCTATCACCGTGAACGTGGCTTCGATGCTCTCTCTGCATGGCTTTTGGCAATTCCCTCCATTTAATTTCAATCCCAAATCCAAAATAGACAATTTCAGTGCACGAGAAGGAAAGTTCTGTACACCAGGCCTTTGAGAGTGGACGATATTCTCGTTTTACAAAATGGCAGTGCTTGTTTTTTTTGAAGACGGGAATGGAGATGACAACAGCATAGATATTGACAACAATAACGGAGTTCTTCCATATTAAGTATGAAGAATTAAGATTTCCACAGCTCATTCTCTAATCTCTATTCTATCCCCCCTTGATACCGTAAAGATCCTTCAATTGGGTGTTTCATTGAACAAACCCTCTTTGGCTACCTTTCTCGAGAAATCCACCAACGCCCTTCCAGTTGAATGTGTGAACGCTTTCAGGCGCTATCCTGTTTTGTATTAAGCGTCACGGCAATTTGCTTACCTTTATTCACTCGCGTTCTCGAGTTTACCTCCGCCAACCCCATGCTACAGAGCGAATTCATCGGCTGATCTTTCCCACGTTGATCCTTTTCAAAGCGGTATAAAATCCCCCGCAGGTGACTATTGGATAGATATCAAAATACTGTTGTTGGGCTACCAAGACTTCAGAGATTCACAAGTTCTGATTGTCCTGTGAGCAAACACCGCATTTGCAATCTACGTCGAACTGTTCCTTTCCTATTCGTTTAGTTATATCTGGGAAGATGGTGTACGTCCGAAGAAGTACAGAGCGGGAGTTTCCAACGCACCCAACCCTTCCAAGTAGATGGCGAAAGTAAAACATATTAAGCATGGCAATAGAAAATTGAATGACAGCAATCTCAAGCCGTAGATAATTCTGAGATGGAGTATGGCAAGCCATACATCCTAGTCAGAAGAAAATGGATGTTTTCTTCTTACAGTCGATGGGTTGTGGTACCGAGTACCCCTCTACAAAATTTGCTCAGTGCTTTTCCTGGCATGATGAGTAGCCCTTCCTCACCGAGCTTGAGGGAGCCCGTAGGAGCCCGTCAGAAGTTCTTATGCAGTCTCATCGTTGTGTCTCTCGTCGTATAGTGTGCGAGGCGCACCAACAATGAAAGTACAATACTCAGTTGTGAAGTTCAAGGTGGTGGGGGGTTAAGCGCCCCACACTCATGTATCGGGATGACCCAATCAGATGATGCAAAGTATTTAAGAAACTTATCACTAACATGTAGTTAAATAAAGACGCCCCGTCCACCCCAACCAAAACCAGTCTCGATAGCTCAGTGGTGTAAGACCCCAGAAATCCCAACTTCGGCTTCCATCAACTCTAATTCAGCAACAGAGAGCGGAAGATTGCAGTACCGCAACATATCTTCAGGTCAGGTGTTCGAACCACCTTCGGGACTTGATCCGACCTCCGACATTGAATGTTGGATTAATTGTTTTACTTTTTTGAGCTTACACTATTGTTCCTTTTGCTTTTTGTCCCTCTGTCTAACCTCTTTTTCTTTCTTCGCTGCGTTATACTCCTGGCGCTTCCTTATTTTTTAATCCAAACATCTTCTCCTCCTGTTAAAGTTTTAATGCCCGGGAGTCTTGAAAGTAAGGAGATTTTCATTTTGTTGGATCCACCGAGCTTGCATTAGGGCATGCTGCTACAAGCGAGAAATAAAAGGGGCCAGGTCGCTAAATTCCCAGTTGTCAACAAAACACAACTGCACTTTATTTCAGGTATCAATTATTATGCTTCAGAAAGCCTTCATTGTCGGGTCCAAGCAATTCACCAGATATTTTCGTTAAGATGGTTCATTTTAAGGAGACCTTCTTGTGGTTTGCTTCACAGTACGAAACTTTCAATTATAATGCGCATTACGAGGGTATCCCATTACTAAATAAGGGGAATACGGTCAAAGAGTTCAAACGTAATATCAATTGTGGCTACTACTAGCCAGCTTAGAACATATTAGAGCGTCGTTGCCACTAAAGCAACCCGAAGGTATTCTGGTTACGCGGCAGCTGCTGAGTATTAGATCAGTACCATCTTGCACACACCCTTTGTCCCGTTCAACGCCTTGTTCACCCATGCTGACCTGTCTTCGGACCTAGGGAGTCGGACACGATTGGAACATTCAACATTTCACCACTTCTTTACTACCCGAAGCAAGTCCCCTGAATGTCATCACACACCCCTATCTACCGTACAAACTACACACTCTCTGATGCTACATCAAGGCAAAAATTACCCGCTCCTTCGCTTTGACATCACTGCGAACATAAAGCAAGGCGCCTCAGAGTCCTCAAGCAGTTTAAATCTTACCCAGTTCGGTCAGGGAATAGAGACGACAGGGAATGATGCCGCAGAATTTCAAGACTACGGAATGAGTGGTATTTCGACTACTAAAGCGAACACTCAGCTGGCAGGAAGGTAACGTTATGGCCCGTATTGCAACATCTTCCATGCCTTGGTTCTTGCGAATTCAACCGAACACCGGTAGCATATGCGAAGAGTTTCAACTTTCATACTTATTCACTAGAACATTGGAGGATCATTCAAAAGATGATGATTCCACTAACGCTCCCTCGCCATATGTCACTGTCAAGTCTATGTTCACCATCGAAATTACAAGCAAACTCAGAAGTCAACCCCGCTATCTATAAATACTTGATGGCTTCTCAATTTATCACTTCCCAAACATTCCAATGTTACAGGAGACGCATCACGATTGTGCATATCTCAACAGAGTCCAGTGACTGCCACTTTGAACTCAATCCAGCATTCACATGCCGTCAATGTTAAATTGGTGGTTTGACTTTGATGAACACTCATAAGTTCTTGAGCTATCTTATATATATCCTCAATCACTGATACATCTATGGTATACCATGTTATATTCGTAATCTTTATTCACTTCGACGGCTCTTTGCATCCACAACTCTCGTTTAGATCTTTTTGGAAGACATATCTAACCAATATGCTTTTTGATCTCCTTTGTAGATAACGTGTGTATAAAGGCGCTTAGATGAGCCATGAACTCACTTAGCAACGCGGTCCCCAAGGGACTACGAGCAACCACTAACATGAACTGGAGGGACTTCCGTTGGTTACAGTCCAACAATCTACTAGTAGATAGCAATAAATGCCCTCTTCCCTATCTTGAGAAGCTACAAATTAAAATACTTCAGGTTCGCAAACTTGAACAAAATACCAACCATCAGCACCTGCAAACTGTTGTCAACCCCCACCTTACCGTCAATCCCCATCTTCAACTCCAGTAGCTCTCCTCAACGAGTCTGAATAATCACACAAACATTGAAACCAGCACAATCCCTCCTTTGCTAATTTCTCAAAATTACAAACCATCTCGAAAGTCGGGGCGCACTGGACATGACAATCATGATTACTCTCATCAGGAACATGTTACTCCGCAATCGAAAGATATCGCAAATGCTTTTCAGCACCTTCAACACCTTCAAGTTACCCCTTCTTTTATGCGTGCCACTAAACTGTCTACACTATTCAAGACTTACCCCACAAGCGCTTTAGTGAGAACTGAATAAAGTATTTAATCAATTTACACTCTCCAAGGACCCTTGGTCACAATCAATACGACATGCACCCCTTGTCACCGAATTCCGCACAGTATAGCATTCACCTCCACTCCCCGCCTCCATACTACCCCCACAAGCAGACCTCTTTTCCAATCAACAAAACCCTGCAAAAAATACTCCAGCGCTCCATAATGATAAAAGCAAGCCGGCTTGGAGTCACGCAATCGCTTCGACACAGCACAGACATCCACATTCACAACCAAATCTCGGCACAATACAATCTCAATCAGCTCCGTTGTCAAGAACCCGAAATCAACGTTAGTCCTCAAGGCATCTACGTGCTTGCTTGAAGTTCTATTGGCGGGAAAGAATTTCAAGAAACCGTCTTGCTGTCAACAACCCCCTCACTTCTATCCCACACACCACCGCTACCTACTCCTCTCACCTGTACCTCTCACTCCCTAATTCTCTTTTGAACCTCAAACAATCCCACTCACACCCACAAACATATCCTAAAATCTCCTACCGCCCACCTCTCAAACTAACACAGCTACGCACAAAACGACGAAGCCACATACACCAGCACTCATTTATCCAGGTTCAACATAATTCCTCTTCCCACTATGGCACAATATCTTATCTGCCTTAAATACCTACCTATTCCAAACCCCTAACTTCTCTCACCGGACCAGTAATCCAAATATGTCAACACAATTGAGCCGAGCTATTCGGGAGACCAAGTACCCTTTCAAGAGCGGGAACAATGATCTCCCGACCCATCATTTCCCAGATGTTCCCACTAGTCAGACCACTCGTCATAATGATCATATGTGTGACCTTTCGAGCCCTGTGTCTGAGTATTCCCATATCCTGGCCTTGTTCTTCGCAGGCCCCGCCTCACAGGTCTCGATGTTCGCTGGCAAGACGCGTATGCCTCTATCCTGCAGCCCGGACATATCAGCAAGTAGCTGTACGCGACACCACATTCTTCACACTGCAAACGGTTCCAGCAGGTCTCTGCTTCTACCTTTGGCCACCAACCGTCATGGTTGCAACTACCCCTTTCAGGCTGCCGTCTCGAGGATCTTGACGACCCAACTACTGGAGGGGGTTGGTATTGTTGCTGTTCGTAGACTTTTGCTATGCACTCTTGCATGCGTTTGACTCTAGCCGCATCCTCCCACATCTTGTGCGCCATTTCCTCCTCACGCAACTTCCTTGCACCCGCTTCTTGTTCCTGTCTCAATTTCTGAGCTGCCTGATATCTCCTCAAATTCTTTGCTTCTTCTCTCTCTCGCTTCTCGCGTTCCTTCTTCCGCGCTTCATCTCTCACTAGTTCTTCTTTGCGCCTCTCCTCCTCAAGCTCGCGTTCTCGTCTTACCCGAATGCGATTTTCATGAAAGCGAATATTTTCATTGTCGATCTCGTGTGCTTTGGCCAAAACATCCTGTCCATCTCTCAAACCCTTCTCCCACTTCCTCAATATGGTCATCTTCGACTTAAGCACCCTCTCCTTCACGTTCTTTGAATGGAATCTATCCAGCCGCTCATTTGACTTCCTCTCTTTCTCCTCCCCTGTCTCGACAGATTTCTTGTACAAGGGCGAGAAGATCCAAGCCGACCAACCCCTTGCAGCCGCTTCCTCGGCCAATTCTCGCAGCTTGATGTCATCTAGTTTTTCAATGTCCTTCTTTAATCGTGTGACTTCTCGTTGCTGCTCAAATATGACATCCTCGTATCGCTTGGCCGTTGGTCTCCATTTCGCATCCCGTTCATCCCTCACTTTTCGAAGTGCTGCGATAGCAGCAGAGTCTTCAATATCTCCCTGCTTGGACTTGGGGATCGAGGTTTCGGGGTTGGGCTTGTTCGATGTGAGGGATTGCGTTTTTGGAGGAGGGTTCTCTTTGTTCAAGGACTTGGACGTGATACTTGGGTATATTATATCGTAGGACCGGCGCCGAGCTTCATCCTTGAGCGACCCATAGGCCCTTCCAAGCTATAGTGATAAAGTTTATCAGCATTCTCTATTTGAAGCCAGAGTTTGCACACTGGTTCGCCCCAAGAATTGAATATCTCAGAATTAAGTCAAGTAAACATATTCCTACCAATTGAAATGCAGCAGTAGCATCTGATCTCGGATTTCGATCTGGATGTAGTACAAACGCCAAGCGTCGGTACGACTTTGTGATTGCTTCTGTGGTAGCTATTTGCTCGACTGCGAGAATGGCGTAGTAATCATCAGTGACTCGAACTGGTGCCATGACTGTACATTTATCACTCTCGATTAATGTTTTTAGATATAATTGTGAGAAGATAGAGAAAACATTATCACCCCTTTCAAGAGATATTTCTTCTCGTGTTTGCTATCCGTTTGCTCTCCCTCGACGCCAAGGTTACACCACGCTCCCGTGACTTCAGGGGCAGCGACTGTGGACTCGAAGTGAAAAGCTGCGAGAAACTTGCTCTATTCTTGGATATGATATCTGATATCTGATAGGTGTATGTGGCGTCGAGCACATGATATCAATGAGTTATTTTGAAATCAACATCAGTCTGGTTCATGTTCACCTCAAATGTCCCATTTCCAAACGAACATCTGCGAAAGCCCAGACCGAGCTCCGGTTCTCACGATGATGTAACCGTCGTCAGATGGAACGGGAACTTGAGGACAAATTTTCTGGTTATCGAGTGCTATTGTACTCTCCTGATGGTTAGAGAATAGAAGTCAAGAAGACGAGGTGGCTTTCACGTTTACAGAGTCTGCACGGTGAGACTTGCACCCGCTGCTTCAAAATCGTGGTCGTCCGTCACTTTGGCCTCGTTTCTTGCTGCAGTGATAGAACAATGTTGTTGGGCT